ATATCAAAGGGAGACATCTGTACATGATACAAAATATGATAGGTATGGAAAGTAAGAAGGGAAATAAAAGGAAGGAACAAGTAATAAAAAAATAGACTGAGGATTGGACATTGCAAGCTAAACACCCAACAGGACTTTGTGATGAATGTCAGGAGGTGGAATCAATTAATCACTTTCTTTATATCATGTAAGAAATATATACAAGAAAGGCAAGAGTTCAAGAATCAGCTACGGGAAATAGGTATAGTAGAGTATAATGTTAAAAATATAGTAACATATGGAAATAATGACCAAGGACGGAGATATTTGTTTAATTTTCTAAGGAGGACTGGACTGGAAGGACGAATTTAATTAAGATATAGTAAGTTAAAGTGAGACAGCAGATGGCAGTAATGCAACACTATGGATGCCAACTGCCGTAAAACTCCTATGAAGAAGAAGACAAACATCACTATTGTGATGTACATTTGTGTTAGGGACTGTTGACTGTGGAATTGTTACACTGGAGAAATGGTGAGTGGTTTCTTTAATTGCTATTCAATATGATAAATATGATATTATAATACCAATATGCACTGTGGCCTGGCCCCATGTTAGCAAATTAGTCAGTTAGCCAGGTACAGCCGTTTTGCCAGCTGAGATTAGTTAAGTTAATTAGTTAAGCCAGGAACACACTACACAACTGTAAGGCTGGTTATGAATGTAATTTGATACTTAAAACTGATCACACCCAAATGTGTCAGAGCCATTTGCGTTCAGTTGGTGTTTACAGTCAGCATTTAAAATCATAAGTGTTTTCTCTTAGAACTTAGAATGATTCAGTTAGTCGTTAAGTGTGTCCCTGGCTTTAGGTTGCATATCAGTATTTGTTATACTTCACTTCCCATATCAGGTCATTACTAGACTACATTAACTCGGGATCATATTTCAATAACTATACAAGCATGTTTTGTGGAAGCATGGATGCATGATTTGTTTCATATTTTGTTTAACTAATAGTTATTTTCACCTGTTAGGTTGTTAGTAACTGATTGCAATGACATATTGTTCTCTGTGTTTCAGGATGTGTCAAGTCTTTCCAAGGGGACAAAGAAATCGAAGTTAAGAATCGAAAAGGAGTCATCAAAACAGTACCAGAAGCAGAATGTATCTGTTAAATTGAAATGTCTGTCAAATGCCAACACCAAACTGAAAATAAATCAAAATGAACAAGGAAACCGAATTGTAGAAATACTTTGAAGGAAATAAAAGATGAATTTCTACGTTTGTGATATTACTGACCAATATTAGAGAATTCTTAGATCACAGTTAAAAGAATGAGTTTAACACAATGATATGACGGTGGTCTCACATGGTGAGCTCACAGTATGAGCGCACAGTGAGTGTGCAGTGACCTCACATTGTGACCACAGTATGAGCACACAGTGAGTGTGCAGTGACCTCACATTGTGACCACGGTATGAGCACACAGTGAGTGTGCAGTGACCTCATATTGTGAGCACAGTATGAGCACACGGTGAGTGCGCTGTGACCTCACACTGACCATAGTATCAGCACACAGTGAGTGTGCAGTGACCTCACATTGTGACCACAGTATGAGCGCACAGTGAGTGTGCAGTGACCTCAAATTGTGACCACAGTATGAGAGCACAGTGAGTGTGCAGTAACCTCAAATTGTGACCACAGTATGAGCGCACAGTGAGTGTCCAGTGACCTCACATTGGGAATATAATATGAGCACACAGTGAGTGCGCTGTGTGGTTACACTTTTAGCTCACTGTGACACACCATGAGAATCGTGTGAGCTCAAGGTGACATCATTGTGAGATCAAATTGTTGACTGGGCTGTTAGAGACA